ATCCAAATGTGTTGAAGGTCATGCTTTTCTTTTTCTTTGCTATTTAAATGGAGGACTTATATGGAGCACATCTCTAACAAAACCTTCTACTTCTCATCTCAAAGAATTGATGATAAATGTTACCTTTCCCTGTGGGCTTTGGGCTGTCATTTTTAATAAGTGAAAAACCCTCAATACATGATGTCACATCTTGTTTTTTATTTAGATAATGTGGTCTAAATGACAAAGAAATACAACTTTGAAAATAAGGCCTCAAATAACAGCCAATATGTATAAGACAGAGGACTAATTGTGTGTGTGTGACTGGCGTGTGTGTGAGTGTGTGGTAAGTCACATACACCTCTTTAATCTTCCTGTCATACTTAATTCAGGATCCCCATTAGTTATTACCGCAGAAAATTCTGTTCCACATAAAAGACAAAACACATAACCATCACATTCTTTACAACCCACAATACCAACATAACCAAGTTTCACAAAAATAAGAGTATAGGTTTTCAAACTCCTGTTGGCTCAACATCTGGCATCAGAAGCTCACTTAGGAGCAAATATGAAAGTCTGTGGGGGGGGAAACACACACATCCTCCTGTACTACATGATCCAGTGCCTGTCCAATACCTGACACTCCTCAGCCACCAGGCCTCCTTTTTATCCACCGCCCACGCATTCGCTGGAGTCAGAGATGTTTTGATAGTGAAATTGATTTTCCAGATATGGAATGATACAAGATTTTCTGGAGGATACACTTTTCGAGCTTGTGTGCCAACAAGAACTAAACAGTGTGCGCATAGCGTCCTTGTGCTTCTGTTTCTTCAGTGTTACAGTGTGAGTGTTGATCTGGATTTTCTAAAAAATCATATCAACCATCCAACAATGCTGCAGATAAATATGTATTGGGTTTGTCCCAGAAGTTTTACAATCAACAGACACAAGAGTCTTAGAAAATGGAGGGACATTTAGTAGGGTCACTCCCTTTTAACCATATTTAATGTCCGTCATTTTATTTCAGTGTCCAAATTGTGTTTTGGACATATTGATCGGGCCTCTAAATGTTTTAAGCCTGAGTGCCAACAAATGCTTTCTCTGAAAGACATGTTTATGAAGCTTATGGTTAAACAGCAGGGGGATGCTCAGGTGGGGTGAAATCCTTAAGCAACATATTGCTAATTGACCACATCGCCCCCCCCTCTCGCTCTCACCATCCCCTCCCCCGGAGGAGTCGTAAGATGCGAGGGCAGAAACCTCCTGAGCGCCACGAGCAGGAAATGTGGTTTACCCATTATCAGCAACTCTGTTTACTGAATGGATTCCACAGCAGAAAGATGAGATACTGCAAATAAATCACTGCTAATAGGAAGGTAAATGGGACTCTTTTTTTTCGAAAGCTCACAGTGATTATTTTTCCTCATTGTGAGAAAGTACAGACATGTACTTAGAAAGGCTTTGCACAGAAAACAAGAGTTTTTTTCAGAATCACCCAAAAGTTGAATACCAATGAACATATTGATGAAAAAAAAAAAATCTAACAAACCAAAAAATCCTTTTACATTTATTATCTCATCCATCTTAGACTTTTTTGGTCTTGATATTTCTGTTTTCACAAATTCTGTACCCTGGAGTGTTAGATTTTAAATGCCCAATGCCCCCTTCATTTATCAATCGATCAATGGCACACCTTTAATATCCCTTATTGTTTCACACCTGCGCGACATAACTAGAAATCAATAGAAAATGTAAATATTCTCTCACCTCTCTGTCCTGCTGCAGAGTGTCCTCCCATGCAGAGCGCACAGTTCAGCAGCAGAAACCACAGCATGGTGAGTCTGAGCTGAAGATGGTGACTGTTCAGGTAGCTTCTCCTCTCTCTTCTGCCTTCAGACTCTGCGCTCCTCCTGCAGA